GGAAAATTAGATCCAATAGTCCTTTTTTTTTTAAACTTTTATTAACATTTTATGATTATTCTTCATTAACACTCTAAATATAAAAAATTGTCGAAAATTGCTTTGTAATTGTGGGAAATAAATTTGTTTGAAGATAAGAAAAACATGTTCTTTTTAACAATTTTTTTTTTGGTCGAAAGTTCTTTTAACAAATTAGAAAGACAAAACAAGTTATAAGTTTAAGTCTTCTACTCTTCTTAATAAGAAATGGTTCTGAAAAGTTGTTGAATTTTGACTTGGACTTGTACGGATAGTCTTGTGAGACGTTTACGGCCCAACTCGTTATTTCATATATCTCGTGGACTTTTGAAGACTTTATATTAAAAAAAAAAAGCAATTATAAAAATGTCACTTTTTGCGTGCATATTTGCAAAAATACTATTTAAGGGTGTCCATTTACAAAAATACCACTAATTATGGATTTATAAAACCTATATCCTAAAATTACAAACCCTAAAAAATGTTTTGACACCTAAAACCTCCTAAACACTCAAAACTAAACCCTAATAGAACATAATTAACCCAAACATAAATAATATAAAAAAAATAATTTTGAAAAAGTGGCATTTTTGTAAAGATTTCAAAAATGTGGTATTTTTGTAAAGTGGCACTTGAAAAGTGGCATTTTTTGAAATTTCACAAAAAAAAACTCCAATTCATAAACTAGAAGAAAAAACATATAGAAAACGATACTAAAGTAATATTTATCTAAAATAACGTTTCACTTTAAATTTCTCACGAATACTATACTGTAGTAACAATTTAAACATTTGTGGTTGAGAAATTAAACCGACAAAATTGTGGTTGGAAAGAGAAAAAAACAAATTAAACCGACAAAAATGATACTTTTAATTTAATTCGCCACTTTCATTGTAATTATATAAAATTTTATTATAAATCTTCTTCGTCGTTTCCTTTCTTTGATTAAAGAAAAATAAATTAAATATTTATATAGCTTCACTAATGTTGTTACATCATTTTCCCCCAACGAACGCACTCGCATATTCCCTTCGAATAAATATCACGGCCATAATTTTGTGGGGGATAAATGAGAATATGATGTTTAAGTTTTGAACAAGGTCGTTCACATATCTATGAATTTTTTATGATTATTGAAATATACTAATTTATAC